GGTAAATATACAAATAATAAATAAAATTATTTAAAATAGCATAAAATGATAGAAAAAATATGATATGCTTAGAATATATACCTACCTTATATTGTATTTTGTGATGAATAATAATTACTAACAAAATAATATGAATACAATAGTCAATAAAATAATAAATACTATAATTAAGTGACATTCAATGTTATAATTTGTCATCAAAAAAATAGTAGAAAATGGTAGAAAAAATTCATAATAAATAATATAGTTATAAATTATAATTATTAATTATAATTTGTCTAAAAAAAAATAGTAAATAAATTAGGTATAATATTATGTACTATGTTTTGTTATAATAATTACTATTTATAATTATTATTTGTATATTTACCTCCCCTATTTTAAAGGGCTATATATTTTAATCGTATATATATTTACATATGAGGGCAACTGGTACATTTTGATCTAAGTAGTTTTTGGGGAATTGGTATAAAAAAAGGTACTTTTGGGGGCAACTGGTACATGTCCGTAAAATCAGTGAGTTAAGCGTAACCGAGGTATAAAACGGTGGTATACTCGTATACGAAATTGATCTATATATGTCCATTTTATGAAGTGGAAACGGTAAAAATTATACTGTGTATGCACAAAAACACTTACCCAGTAATATAGTGTATTTAAGTAATTTTAAAATTTAAAACATACAAAAATAAAAATACTTATTTAAAAAAACGAAAAGTTAGGTACGTAAATATAGATATATTATAATAATATGCACTAATATAATATGTAAAATCAATGTTATTGTATATTAAAATAAATTTTACTATTTTTAACGGCTGAACAATTATAGTAGTGGATTTCCCTTGGATTTTTAATTTGAAGCGATGTTTTTATAACAGCAGGAAATCTGTAAGAACTATATTTTGAACATCTCTATCTAATAAAAAACTTACAATTTTTTGGATGTACGTACGTATATATAACCTTAAAACAAATTTTATCGTTTCCTTGAGTGTATTAAATTATTTCTATGGTTGCACAGACACACAGATAAAAATTACTCGAGATACAAGAATAAATGCACTATACAGGAACTCAAGAAGTACACAAACCGTTTAAGGTGTAAACATAATAATAAATAAGTAAATATTAGGTACAGGGGTCTGTAAAGGAAATACTACAATAACAATTTATTTTTGAAGGTGACTTGTTCCCAAGTTCCAAACACAAAAAATTAATATTATGGAGCTTGTAAGCGACACTGTCACAGTGGGCGGCACTAAATCATTATTTTCAGAAAATGTTATAACCAAAAAAAATAACAAGTTTTACAAAGCAAATTAAAATCGTCCATTTCAGTTTTAGCAAAATTATCAATAATGTGATGTATTTGATCTAAAACATCAAGCTCAGTTTATTAAATACAATAAACATAATAATATTATATTAAATACATAAATCATTTTTAAAATAAATCATCATTATACATTACAAGTTACAACCTGGGGAATGCAAGTTTGTCAATAAATAATATCTTATAGTTTATACTTACACAATACATATTATACTAGGTTTTATTTAATTAAATAATTTAGATAGTAAACTCCAACCTTTTTTTTGTATTTTCAAATATTTCTATTATATTTTCATCAACTTTGTCATGCATATTTTGACGTACATACTACATTTAACAAGCATAAACTTGTTGAACAATTCTCGTCCATCCTTGATTGAAGCCTAGTTTTATCTCTGCGTAAATTCGAAGAATTTCTATCAGCTGGAGCAAAATTTCAATTCGGTAAATTTTTATATAAATACGATTAGGCTATTGATGATATTGACTATTGATGATTAGCTATTAGTCATAATCGATAACATTGTGTTGTAGTTATTTTCATTTTTCGATCAGGTTGAGTACATCGATGACCAATACAATTTTGATTATTTTTAGAATACTCAGGAACCAGGGCCCACGTTTATTGTAATAATTTCGTTATGCTAAATGACACGATAAGTCGATGATCTATGTATAGTAGGTATTATCATGATATAATATGATCTCAAATCATGAGTATTATACAATTTTACTTTATCTAAGGACTAAAATATATACATAAACCGCCCGTCGACGAAAATTATGTCAACATGTTAAAATGGAATCCCGGACGAAAAGTCCGGGGACAAAAAGTCCGGAATGAAAAAAGTTGGACTAAAAGTCCGGATTCATTTTTTGATTGCCGGACAAAAAGTCCGAGTACATTTTTACTGTCGGACAAAAAGTCCGAAAATACAAAATTGTCTATTATGGTGGTATGGCTATGGCTATATCTATCTAATGTTCATCGTGGCAGTATGTCTACAGTTTATCTACCATATGATTATACCTACATACTACAATAAGTAATAACGATAATCAATACCACGATAATAATATAAATCTAGATAATATATTATATAGGTACCTATAGTATATTTTTATTTTGTAAGATTGCTGTAGGTAAGTATAATAAAAATCCCAAAAAAGAAGTCGTATGATTGTATGATTGGACTATCCCATTTTACATCTCACCCGGGTTAGGGTACTAATATTGTACATTGTGTCGGTAATCGCAGAAATAATAAGTAATAAAATATAAAAAAAATTTTAATAGACAATTTTGTATTTTCGGACTTTTTGACCGATTACCGTTAAAATGTTATAGGTATTGGTTTTATCCCCAAATAAGTTTAAATTATAAATACATTTGAATAAATTATTAGTACATGATCTGGCGGTACGTTCCTATAATAATATGATTAACACCATGGCTTAAGGGGGCTGGAGCGTACGTAATCCATTCTAACGAGTATAAACTAGGCATTTTATATTTTAGTTCATATGGGTCTTGTGAATGTGGTTAAAGTAAATGAACATTAGTGTGTGTAATTCGTAGTACCGATCACCATGTATAGGGGCATCATAATACGTCTGTAATTTTACTCACGCGCATGCACATGTCACCACTTATTACATTGTAAAATTACAAACATTATTTTTCAAAAAATACTGAATGACTTCAATCACTACTCTCAGTAGGATTTTCCGATTTAAATTTTGAAAGCAGATTTGAATTCTTCTCTAAATTTACTATGCTTTGACTGTCGTACTATTTTATATTCTATATTAGTGTATTTAAATTTGAATTATGAATATGATCTATTTTTACTCTTCCTGTTAGTAATATCTAAGTAAAAAAAAATAAAAATCAGAAAAATTAAATTGTCAAAGCATAAATAATTTAGTGATGAATTCAAATCTGCAACATTATATTGGGCGTAGTGATTGAAGTCGTGAGCTATGTTTTCGACCGAAAATGAATCACGCTCCAGCCCCCTTAAATATACAAGGTTATTGCACATAGTCTATATTGTTATCAAACAAAAATACAATTTCAGCGTAAGGGTACAGTCAGTCCTGTAAAGAATACTTTTGAAAAGTACTTGAGTAAGTACTCAAATATATTTTTTTTTAAGTATTTAAGATACTACTCAAATACTTTAATTGTATAGTATTTCAAATACTACTCAAATACTTTGAAAAAGTATTTGGAATACTTTTGGAATACTTTTCAAAAACTTTTGGTTTTTAAAGTGGGTTTCTAATTATTGTAATATAGACACATAGGTAGTAAATTTATAATCATTTTTATTTATTATTTATTAAATAAATGTTTATTACATTTTTTTTTTTATTTTTACATGAAATTTACAATCTGTTCTTAACTAGAACAATAAGCAAATGTGCATAGGGTATTTGCGTATGTTTTTTTTTTGAGGGAAGAAACCACCCATTGGTGATACTACCTATTTTGTGTTCTTAATTCATTCTAAAATTTCTAAAATTATTTCGAATAAAAATAAAATGTTCGAAATAAAAAACTAAAGTATTCAATACAAATAAAAGTATTTAAAATACCATTCAAAATACTTCATGCTGAAAGTATTTAAAAAGTTATTCAATACTTAAAAAAGTATTTGAATACTTTTACTCAAATACTTTTACTCAAATACTTTACAGGACTGGGTACAGTCCATATCTTAGTATATTTTATAGTATAGACAGTATAGGTCGTCCACCCCCCCCCCCTTAAGCTGCCATTTTAATTCCTAAGTGTGATAAAATGATATAGTGGGGGTAGTATTGCAATAACCTTGTATATTTAAACTATGATTAACACCTCATTTAATCACAATATGATTTTTTTCAGGCAAAATAAAATTGTTAGGTATCCAATTAAATATTCGGGATTTTAATGTTCTCACAAGGAGAAGTAATATGTATTAAAAAAATTAAAAGGTTTGAAAATCCTTAGGGCCGGGGGGAGGCATGGCCATAGTGCGCCTCCACCCCTAGGAGCCGCGTCTGGACTCGACAGTCGACGGGTTATAACTTAAAATAATAAATCATAAATATGTCCGACGTCTATCCCATTGGTATTTCATTTTAGGAACTATATCATAGTTCATATTATAATAAACACTCGAACTGTATTCATTTGTTGGGGGAGAAGGCGATTTTTTTTTAGCTTTTCACGTCTTAAATATTTCAAATTCATCACACATTCACACCACTGGCCCCAGCCAACCAGCAAATCATCAATTATTTTTATAATATTGTAAAAGTTCAAAAACAAAAATTGGGCGCGAAAACATACAACTATACAAACACCTAATAATGTTTTGGATTCGAAAAGCATTAAAATTATTTGAGGTTATGTAACAAAAACGCGCATTGCGCGGAATTCGCAGTATTGTGTTTTTCAGACATTCAGTGATTGTGCTAGTAGCTAGTGTGACGCCGACGCGAGTTGTGATAGACGGTCGCTGATTAAATTGTCTATTACAAATTGTTTTGAAATTTGAATAATATTGTTAAATTTTACTCGGGTATGATTGAGTCGTTCTAAAACTGCAAATTTCAATAAATTATATTGCTTTGATATAGTTTATATTATATTATTTAAAATTATTACCGAAAAATGGCGGAATTCGTACAACGACGTAAGGAAGAAATGATTATTGAAGTTCCAGTACTCAATAGTCATTTTAAGAAATCTGCTGTGAAGTAAAAATATTTTATAAAACTTAAACTCCAGTTGCATATTTATTACTATTAATTGATTAATATTTTATTATGCTATTGGTGTGCGTTGTATGTACCTATGCTTTAATATTTACCATGCTTTGTTAACAGAAATATATTGAACCAACGAGAAAAATTTGAGTATAGATTGATGCGTCGAAACAAACAAAAGTCAGATTTTACTCTTTATATTACATTTTTGAAATCCGTTATCAAGAGAGTTGAACAAGTAATAACCTACAACAATAGTTTTAACATCTTACTATAAGTTTAATATCATAATGTAATTTATTTTATTAGATGGGTTCAACAAGTACTGAATCACTTAAGCTTGTTAATCAGCACAATAACCGAATCATAGACCTTTATCGTGCGTCTCTAAAATATTTCAAAGATGATATATCCCTCTGGAAGGAATACATAAAATTCCTGATGAAATGTGTGAGTAAAGACATTTTGTCATTATTGTTATTATTGCCAACTGCAAGAGTACTTTATGATGAATTGAAAATATATTCATAGTTGTTGTCGCTTGAACACTTTCTACTTTATTGAATAGTAATAATTTAAGACATTTTATTTTCTATTTTTTAGGATAAACTAGAGTTGTTACGGAGAGTTATAAACAGTGCCTTGTTATTACATGGTCACATTTCAGATGCACTGTATGTTTTTGCGGTAAAACAAGAATTTGAAGATTTAAAAAATATCCAAAAAGCAAGAGAATTGTACACTGATGGATTACATGCACATAAGACTTCGTCAAAATTACATTTTATAGCCTTTAAGTGCGAACTAAAATATTCAGAAATACTCACACAAAAGTTGTTGAAATCTGGTAATATTTAGTTAAATGTACTATAATATTTATTTATCTAACATATATATTTAAAATAATTGTAATAACCAGGGTTTGGGACTTATAGCACTTAAAATAGCACTTAAAATTTTAAAAAATCACAAAAAAAACTATAAATGCAATTTTTCTTTATTACATTATTTTAACACTTTAAATCAAAAAAAAATATGTTACAAATATCAAATCTTTTTGAGTAGGTTAGGTACTTCTTATAGATTTTCTGAAAAATAAATAAATTATTTTTAAGAATAACTAAAGAAAAGTTGATTCATTTTATTAAAAAAAAAAATGTATTTTAAAATGTTTCTTACCTTCTCTATTGCATTGAATAATTAGATGTTTTCTTAAATTTTCAAACTCAAAAGCCCTTCTGTTGTTTGATAGTATTGTTTTAAATGCCGAAAACGAACGCTCAACATCTACGGATGTGATTGGCGCGTATTTAAAGTATACAATATCGTCGCTGGAGAAATCATCGGGAAATTTGCTGAAGTCAATCAACTCACTGCAATCTTCACCATCGAGTATTTTTGATATTTTCTCTAACACTCCAAGACCATTATTTTTTTCAAAAACTGTTTGAAGTTTAGTGAGAACTGGTTTTCCATGATTTCCTTTTAGCAAAGAAAATTTCTGTTGCACATTTTGAACCACAGCAAGTGAATCAGATAATAAAACATTTTTTTTTTTGTAGTTCAATAATGGCTTTAATAAGAACTTCAAAATTACTTTTTATATAGGCTAAATTTGTTTCCAAACCCGGTTTTATAATGCATAGTTTTACTTTTCTAATGCTGTCAGCATCATTTTCGTCTAGGCAATTTACAACGTGACGAATTGCTCTGAAATTTTCGCAATAATAGATTGCAGCCTCAATCCAAGACCCCCAACGGGTAATAATTGGTTCAGGAGGTAATTTTATACTGGGAGCTTCTAATTTAAATATTTCAACGCGAGAAGGAGCTTTACGAAATATTTTTTTCATATTAGATATTAATTCATCAACTGTACCAAATTGTCCGCGAATTTGTTCGGCAATCCTGTGAAGGCCATGCGCACAACAAGTGACGTGTATCATTTTTGTATAAAAGTTTTTTAGAACTGTGCCTGCTTTCACCATATATGGTGCGGCGTCTGATACAAATAATAATACGTTATTGTACTTTATATTACCTGGCCATATAATACCCATAGCTTTATCAAATAATTTACAGATAGTGGAATGATTTGCCTTATCCAATTGTTCCGAGTGCAGTAAAAATATACGACCTGGACAATCTGGTCTAAGAATTCCGACTATAACGTTGGCTATAAACCGTCCTTCAACATCACATGTCTCGTCAATTGAGACCCAAATTTTATTTTGCTGTATTTCCATTTTCATATTGTCCAAAGTAGAATTAAAAATATCGTCAATATAACCTTTTCTTAATGTAGCTTCCATTGGAAAACTTTTACCAGTATACTTCTCTAAAAATGTTCGAAATACATTGTTGGAAAGCTCATTTAATGGAATGTTCGCAGACACCATTGCTTGACATAAATCCATATTAAAATCTGATTTCACTGAATTTTGATTGGTTAAAAGTTGTTGGACTTTTCTCTGAGCTTGTTCATTTTTTCGTTTAACATTTTTTTGGTGCTTATCCGTTTTAATGTGCTGTGATACATTATACTTTTTTTCGAATTTAATTTTAATTTCACACATTTTACAGTACAGAACATGACCATCGGTTGAAAAGTCTGTCCCATATTCAGATACGTATTTCTTTAACTTCTCTTTTGACATTATAAAAAAAAAATAATAAACGCGGACACTAACTACGAGTTTCAACGAACACAACGACGCGATGACGTGACCTAAAGTCGACTAAATGCTTATTGTGTATAATGTGTTGATCACATCTCGATCGAAAAATAATCGAACCGATTAGTAGATAAGCAAACAAATGCGGGTCCCGGTGTTTATTACTAGGAAATATGATACAAAGTAGAAAAAATATTTTTAATTCTAGCCTTACCGTGGAAAATAATAGAAACTAACTAAAACTTCTAGGTTTACGTGTCATAATTAAGAAAAACTGGTCAAAAAAGCAAAAATTATCAAAATAACTTGAAATAAGCATTTTTTTGAAAAATCGCTGAAAAAAGCAAAAAAAAGCACATTCAAATTTCATAATTGAACGTGTTGTAACATGACATACACTTCTATAGCACTCTGCTACATTTTAAGTCAATCCATAAAAATATGCAAATGCTTTAAGTCCCGAGCCCTGGTAATAACAATAGTAATAAATATTTTATTTTATTTTTCAACAGGGAAAGAGTTGAACCAAGAGGATCCGGCATTAAATGGATCTGTAGCTAAAATAATTTATGAATCGGCTATAGAAAATATAAAAAATGATCATGATCTTTACTTCAAAATGTATCAAGAAGCTGCTCAATATAGTTTTTCATTTGGTTTATCAGAAGAAATCAAAAAGTAATATTTTTATCTATTATTAAATAACTTAAGTTATTATTAAAGCTGTGGATATACACCCGACCAGTATATAGAAGTATTTAAAAGTATCAACCCTATAAGTATTAGTCTATACTCCAGTCATTCGGTTTCCAACCCAGTTTTTAATCTAATAAACAATGACCCAAGCATAAATTCAAATAAACAGAAGCTAGGTGTAAAATAATTGCCTTACTTAAACATCTAAATATACTTTGAATAAAAGTATTTTTATTCCAACACTTTACATTGCTGAATAACTAGAATAACTGAATAACTATCTGTGAAAAATTGAGAAGCTGCTTGCTGCTCTGCAACACTAGTAGAGTTAATATAAAAATGACTTTTTTGATAGACACAAGTTAAAATAACATCAGGACCTTATTCAATGGTATTAAATACATTATTTGGAACTTGTACAATTTAAATTTATAAACATAGTCCATGTTTATAACATTCTTTATGAAAACAGTTTACAAAAATTCAAAAATGAAATCATGATGTTAGCTCCCATCTAGTTTCACACAAGGATGTGTGTACTGTGTGCCAACAAAATAATTTAACAAAATTTAAAAAAACCTAATGAGAGTTTCAAAGTGAGGATTTAAGAGTTTTGAATATTTTGTTATTGAAGTACAAAGCATCACATGGCGCTTAAAGTGTGAAGGAGATCACCCCAAGAACTTACCTTGAACTTACCTAAAATAGTAAAATTTTAAACTTTAAGGCTATGGTGTAAGGACATCTTTGCATTTTTGTTATATTATCTTTATTAATAGTTAATACATATGATTTTAAACAATTGTAATTTAATTTTAATTGCTATCTGAATAATATATTTCTGAAGAAATTAATTGATGTATTTAAGAGAGCACTACACCCAAATGTGTGTTGTCCCTGTCTTGTTAACACAATGTACATATTTGTGTTTAGCAGAACCAATGTTGTCATTTGTGTTGTTACCTTTAATATTAAGCTAATTTTTAGCGTATTATCTCAAACCTAAACACAAGAACAATATCGGTGTCTGTGTGTAGTTTTTTACTGTAATATTTTACATCTACCAAACTCAGTTAAAAATGTTACTATTGTAAAAACCCATGTAGAAACTCAAATAATGTTCTTACATTTAAGTTTGATAATAGATAAATTCACTTTAATAAGGTATTAAGCTAAAAAAAATTGATTTTGATATTTTTGTAATATTGTATTCTTTTCACAGATTTATGTTGGCTACATTTAGCAAGGATCCAAATTATTGGGATACTTTAGCTACAAATGAACTGTTGAGTAAATCTTCAAACACAGAAAAATTTAAAATTACGTATGAACTGATTTATAAATTATTATGCATTATACATTTAATTTAATTTTTATTTATATGTATGTTTTTTGTAGAAAATGCCTCGATAGATATGACACTGCTCTTACAGTACTTGATACAGACGAGATGTGGGACAAGTATTTGACAACTATTTTAAAAGTAACATCAGATACTCAAAAAACAGAAGTTTATAAAAGAAATTTACTTAGACAATCTATGTTTAATGCTCACAAGAAAAATAAATTGAAACCAAAACATTATATTCAATGGGTAAGAAATTTAAATTATTTTTTTAAAAGAAACTTAATTTTTCATATTATTCTTCACACCTTTATTGTTTAGATAAATAAGTCAAAAAGTTCCATGACCCCTGAAATTTTGGATTTGGCCATCAAAGCATATCCAAATGACACAAGTATCTTAGAAATTAATATAGAACATAAATTGACCGATACAGAGGAACTAAAAGCTTACGATTTATTTAAACACAATGCTAATAAAGTTTCTCCCAGTATTTGGCTTAAAGTCGTTGATTATTTTTTTAATAAACCACAGATTAGCGATGTTTTCAATATGATATTTGGAGATAAAGCTGTATCTACTAATGAAGTTAAACAAAAACTTGGAAATGAGTATTTGTTGTGGTTAAGCAAAAATAAGTCGTTGAATGATGCTCGAAATGCTTACTACAAATTAATCACAAATAGTAGTTGTGATGCAAGTCTATGCAACACTATAGTAACTCTAGAAACCGAACAACAGAAAATAGATATCAGCAAGATCAGGCAGCATTTTACATTAGCATGCATGCAGTTTGGTAAAACCGATATTGGTTAGTTAAAACTATCTTGTTGTTTTTGTTTTATTATTGTTATTATATTTTTTTTTTTATGTTTAGATTTGTGGATGGAACGAATTTACTTTGAGCTAAAGTATGGGTCACCAAAACTTGTTTCTGATACATATCATCAAGCGTTAACAACTTTGAATAATGAGGAGTCTGATCAATTTGCTGAACAATATTCATCAAGGGTTTCTACATTTAATAAAATTAGTAAAATATAATAACTGAATAATATCTTTAATCAATAAAGATTATATACGATTTGAAATCATTGTTTGGAGAAAACTTATTCAAATTAGTTTTTTTTTATAACCGTTGATATGGAACAATTTGTATTCCGTCAGAATTTTTTTTCAACAACTGTATGCGCCATCTGAAATTATATTTACATTTAAAATTTTTTACAAATTTAAAACGTCAATGTTTTTATTTATACTTTATTACCTGTTAAATATATAAGCACAGCACCAAGTGCAAACACATAAACTTGAAATGAGTATTATACAAATTAAAATGATCGTATTTGGTGATCTATTTGGGAATAATTGTTTTATAATAGGGTCTTGCATTATTTTGGTCCATCTGGTTGATAGTCCAATCACTTTAAACAATAAATAACGTTCTGTATTATCTATCATTATTATAAAACAAATTTTACAAACCTTTAATTTCCATTATATTTGTGACCCAAGTGCTATTCATTTCAGTGCTCTTGACAATACATTTCCAAATGCCTTGAACATTTTTATTTTCTATGGTTATTGTATCCACATCAATCTACAAAATCCACCAGAATGAGAAGAATTGTGTTATAATTAAATTATCAGAATGATTTTAATACCGATGCGAGGGAATTAACTCCATAACTTTTTATCACAAAACTATCGTTTACCAGCCATTCTTGTGACAACCCGTTAAATAAATAACTCAGTGTTGCTGCGTTGCATTGCACTCTAACCACATCACCAATGTATACAGATATGGGTTTGTCATTTATAGCCACGGCAAACAGTTTCAACACCATTCTTTTAGATTTTTGCGGCTGTACCACAAACGCATAAACTCCTGAATCACGAATTGTGCACGAGCTTATAACTGTAATAGAAATACAAAAAAATCATTATACTTTAGAAATAATATATATTTCTAATGCTTTAAACCATAATAGATTGTTGTTAATATATTTTGTGTGATAATATGAATATATTCATAGTATTAATATTATTAATTTTAATTTGCATACCTAATGAGTAATGTGACATAGTCGTATGTATATTACTAATTAAGTAGATACTTACCTACCTATTTGAAACCAAACCATATTGACATTATATTAAGTCGATTACTAGGCTATAAGAAAAAAAACAACATGTCAGCCTGATCAAAAGCTGGTTGCTGGTTAGGAATTATTAATTGTTTTTAGTTTTTACTACCCAACTACAAATTAAATAATTTTATCAGTGTTGTACTTGTACAATGGCGTTTTTATGTATTATTTTTTAAGACATTTATTTTTATTTTAGAGTTTACCAAAGCAGTTCCACTTGTTACGCTCTTATCGAGGTGTATGTATGTACATTGAATTGCCTACTTGGTCAAACTCAGTGTGAGAATTAATATATTCAACCAATTCAAAATAGCCTGTGCAACGCACGAGTATTTCTATTTATTAATTACAAATATATATTATTTGAATATTTGATGCTAATTTGTAATAAAGTCTAGTCAGATACATCCGATACCGCTCAATGGTGGTAAAGAAAATTTCATTTGATGTGCGTCAATGTGTAGGTAACTAGAATATAAAAATAACTGAGGCGGTATCACCTTGTAAGTGGTAGTCAAATGATTTTGTCATGGGAGGATGTGGATAATTTTTTAACTTACACTATTTGGTTATTAAAAATATAATTTATGGTTCATTTTATACCTATACTTAAGTTATTATAAGTATTGTACAAAAAGATTATAGGCCCCCTGACCGACCTCCCAGTTCCCACCGTTTGACCACCATAAATTCATAAATTTTAATAACCTTACCGAAAACCAATTAAGGTGAAAAATGATTATATACGTAATTACGTAAACACAACTGCACACAACTCCCGTCTCCCAGAAACCATGATAGTACCGTACCATCATTTATTATATTTTCCTTTACCCAAAGTGCATCTGTCTTTGTCGTCGTCTGCGACCGTCGACGTCACGGTCTTACCGTTTCGCAGCCAACCGAACTGGGCTTTCGGCGAATCGGCCCGGACAGCGTCCACGGTCGACCGGTCGCACAGCACTGTCAACCGGTCGCCGACAGTGGCCACCGCGTTGTGCGTCCTGCCGGCCAGCAACCGCCGCACCGTGGCTGCCGTCTTGTCGGACACCTGTCCGCACTCGTGTTGGTTGCACGCGCCGACCGACGTGACCGGCCCGTGGCACGGTAGGCCTGCCACGTTTGGCCTGGGACTGTCACACCGCCTGTGCCGCACTCCCGTCCCGCCGCCGCAAGATTTCGTGCACCTCTCCCACTCGCCCCAACCACCCCAGGCCCCGTCTCTGGGCGGACCATCCACGTCCGGCAGCCGCCTCCACGGCTCGTCGCAGTTCACCGTCCACTCGGTCCGACCGCCGCCCCGGTTGGCCACGGAAAAATAACGGACCAGCAGAGGCCGCTCCAGGTCCACGGTCCAATGCCGCCGATGGACGCCGCCACAGTTCATTCGTAACACGGTTTCGTTCCAACTGTAAAATGTTTAACCTTAATACACCGGTTAGTGAGAAATTGTTTGGTCAAAAAAATATTTTATGTACTTATGTTAGTTACCTCTTAAGAAGATTAAATCTTGGTGTCTCTACTTTTTATACAGTAAAAAAACATTTTTAAACTATGTTAATAATTTAGATTTAAATATTTTATGAATTAAGTTTCATTTTATATGTTACACTGAACTTGACTTTTAGTAATTATCTATTATTTATTTTTGGATTGCATGTATTTTTAGTATTGTTTTAAATTATGTTTAATTTATATTGTATAACTGTTTTTGTTAACTCGCTGCTTCCTTTTACATGCTTGCTTTTGGGACGGTCTCATCAAAATACCTATTATTGTATATTGTATAATGTGTACCTTAGTAGGTGCTAATTCGGTATGCGCTCTACCGGTTTTGGCATTCTACACTCGGTCTACGTTCGGTACCTACGCGGATATTGGACTGCAATTACTGTATATGCGTTATCTGCCTCGTTTTTATATAATATGTTGGGTATTTCTTTCAACTGTTAATAATCTTGATAATCTCTAATTATCTTTACATTAAATTGTATTACTGTTGGTTTTGCTTTTAGTACAGTTGTCACTTAACGAAGGTTGTTCGTTACGAGTATAATATATATATTTTTTAAATATTTTTGGTATTTCGTGTATTATTTATAAATTACGTATGACGACTGTAGATCATACCGACTCAGACACTTGTCTGTAAAGAATCATTAAGAGGACGTCTCACCCGGATGTGTTGTCTCCGTCTTACATATGTACGACGTAGCAAATTTTCGTTTGCTAGTTTCAATAGGGTATTGTCAGTTTTGATATTAGAGTGTATCGACCTATTATCAAACTTTTAGGTAACAACATTATCTGTGTTCTCTCGTTGGTTTTTTACGATATTTAAATTTTTAAGTGAGTTATGGGTATGTAAAGTGTTCATATTTTAAAATGTTAGGTCAATTCTCTCTAATATAAAAACTGACAATACCCTATTGAAACTACCCAACGAACATTTGCTATGTCGTATGTGTGTAAGACGGAGACAACACATGCGGGTGCGACGTCCTCTTAATAAAATATAAAATAACCGACTCAGATACTTGTCTGCAAAGAGTCATCAATAAAATAATACAAAAAAAATTAACAAATATAAATATAAAATAAAACCGAGTTAAAACGACCTATGTAGACCGTAGAGTACATACCGACTCACGACACTTTTCGGTAGAGCGCATACAGAAACAGAAACTTGTCGGTAGAGCGCATACCGAATTAGCACCCCTTAGTATAGGTACTTAGTAATTGATGATGATTCAATAAATTGATACGTAATAAAAATAATAAATGATGAAATGTACTTAATATGTATATTCTATAGGTAATCTATATATATTTATATAGGACATAGCCACATAGGTAGTGTTATAGTAATGTAGTTATCATTATGCTATAGGTATATATTTGGTAACAAGTTGGTAGATACTATAGAACCAACGTTATATTTATACTTGTACCTAAAATGAGGAGAAAAGGGGTTGGTAAGCGACATTTGAGTATCAAAAATTGAAAATTGTATGATACATATTGTATATGTAGGTACTTGTATCACAGTCAAACTCAGGTTAACTCGAAATCGTCGAGGCACCTTGAACATTTTCCAGGAATGTCTTATTATATATTGTCACGGTGTAGAGAAGATAAGGTGACACCTCTCCAGTATCTTACAATGGTACGGTAATAGTATCTTTCAATGGTAATATTGAGGCAAAAAGTCACGGCAGCTTGGTAGTTCAGAATTTAACAACAGAGTACGCCACCCGTCGCTCGAAGGCCGACTTTTATACAAGTCATAATGAAGATTTACATTTAAATTATATTTAAGTGTATTAATTGTTGTTCAAATGCCAATAATCTGAATGCCAACATAATATATTTTAAGTTATAATGTATAGATTATTAAAATAAACGTGTAAAATAAAATGTTTTGGAATAATATAGCAATTATTATGTGAAAATTTTAATAATATTATGGTGTGTAGTCATATCGTACAAATGTATTGATTTAAATAAATTATATATTTTTTTATATAATAATATGTTAATTTATTAATTGACACACATATGTACAAAAATGGAATAGTAATATCTACATTAGGTATAAGGTACGAATTTAAACTGTTAATAAAAGCTCAAATACACTACCTACTATATACCTGCTGACCCAAGTTCACCCAATTAATACCCAAATAAAAAATCGTAATATATTATATTTATATAGATACCTATAAAATACATAATAAAAATTAAATATTAAGCACGATGTAGAGGAGATATAATATCTACAGAATACAATAGAGAATAGAATATATTATCAGTTAAAATAATAATATATAAGTATTATTAATATAATAATTATTTATTTTACCTCGAAGATGCCATTTGCTCAATTATTGCAAA